ACGTAAGATTTGTTAAATAAAAGGGAACTCTTTAGCTACAATGTATCAATGTTATGTTATAAAACAAATGGTAAACACCACAGCGTACACTATTGAGTTATGGATGCACGCGGGAGGTTGCTAAGCACGAAAGAAGCGTAAGAGTCGCTCGAGGCGATAGCCGAGAGCGACTCTAGCTTCTTGAGTGCTTAGCAAACCTCCCAAGTGCATCCATAACTCAATAGTGTACGCTGTGGTGTTTACCATTTGTTTCATAACATAACATTGATACATTGTAGCTAAAGAGTTCCCTTTAATTTAAAAAATCTTACGTGACCAGAAAAAACAAGCGCGCGCGGAAAAATAGTCTTTGCATTTGCTCACGTCAGCAGCGTACACCCATGGGCAAATGGTGGACGCTGAATTGACCAATCAGAGCGCGCACTTTACTTTGGTTATGTTATAATTACCTTGTCCGGTGCTACAACATTGACATATTCGGCTCGTAGATCTCCATGAACGATGTGATTTACGTGGAGAAAGTGCAAGGCAGAGGCCACTTGTGAAAGGAACACAACAATGTCACCAAGCTGACATCGTCTGTTCAGAACATAATCTTTGAGGTTTCCAAGAGGAGGGTCCGTCGATATCTGTCAAAAGAGGAATTATAGGGAAATTAGAGCATGCGTCCTCCCCTGATAATGACCATAATTCTCTGTGATGATATTAACTAATTGTTATGAATGAAAAGATGTTTCCTGAAGTACACCTGGATGTATTCAAACGCTTAATAACGTGTATCAGTTCTAATGTAACTGATACTCCAGCTTAGCTCTAAGAATGCCCTCTTCGACTAGTACTGTTCATAGTTGGGTAGCCAGCCTGTACGCCAATAGGACCGGGCTTACAAATGGAACTTTCTTAGGGAACAGCCAGTCGAACAAATGGTTACGTCCCTAGTTGTAATATATTCGATACTTCGATTGAGCGCGAACAATGTCTTCTTCCAATGGGCACAATCACCATAACTATGCACGTCAAGCAATTGTTTTACTATGCAACCGTTTGACATTAGGATGAATATCGCTTTATTGTGTACTCTCTTCTGCTTTAACTATCACTGCCGTTTGTGTCTTATTTTTGATCAAATTATGATGGCCCAAGAACAAAAGTATTTATGATACACTTTAACTATATTTATAATTCATTTACGTGTTACTTACAATCTCCACAACTGGATAATGAGAGTCCAAGTTGTCTATCTTCGAAATCTTTGCGAGAGTTGGCGGGGTGTTCAGTTTGAATAGCCTTCTCAAGTGATTTTTGTCTGCATTTGTAATCTTCTCCTTTACCAAAGGACCATCCTAAAAAGGCCAACACCCTTTGTTATTTACAGTGTATAATGTCGCTGACAAAATACTTAGCGCAGTTTCCCATGCCATTTGCGTTGCTCGTGTTTTTGCCGTTTTTTTGCCGAGTTTAGTTTTCAGTTAAGTATTTTTAGGCTTTCCTGTAAGAAGCAATAACTTCGAATCATCGCCGGATAGATCCTCGTATGTAAATCGTCGTGGTCGTTGTTTACAAGAATAAAGGAACCTGGACGCATACAAGTTATTGTGTAGTATTTATTTTCGCCAAGCGTTGTCACGAGCATGGGGCATATTTGTTACCTTTAAAGAATGTTTTTTATGAGAAATTTTCGTTATGGTCCCACTAACCTCTTCATTATATCTTGTGGGTGCATCATCACCTTTTTCATCACATTGGCAAAATTTCTAAAGAGAAAAATTAATGACTCGATAAAGCTATGGAGAACTTGCAAACTGCACACATCAGCTCTGGTAAAATTAGAGAAAAAAATACGACTGAAGCTGAATAGAAAGTTTCTTTATAAAGGTTTCGATGCAAAACATAATTTATTTCAGGATGTCAAAGGGGGTTCTAGGCCTATTCAAAGCGCTGGTCCCTCCTAGTTGATCTGAGCGCCTTTTATGGCTCATTGACTGCGTCCTTATGGTCCAGATCAGTACTCCTCGGTATATTTAGATTTTAATGCAATTGAGATGATCATCTTTTTCTGTATTTGCTGATTGAGTGATCAATTGATTGTATGACTCAGAGACTGGCTGACGTGCTGAGCTCATTCTGTGCCAGAGAAAAAATTATAACTTAACGTGTGTCATTCGTGTACAAAAAACGCTTTGAAAACTAACATCGGGATTCAGCACTTACGTCATTGATGCAAATGTCCAGCGGTGGTGGGTTATCTCTTGGTTTCTCTTCTGTAAGGTATTGAAAATGGAACGTTCATCATTGTAAAAAAAAAAAAAAAAAAGAACGTGGCAAACCTTAACATGAGATACTGCAGTGTAGTCCCACTTCATTCTTATGAAGAATGGTTTTATACCTAAAAAAATCGCCGTGTTTCTATTTATTTCGTTTGGCAGTGATCCTTCAAAACTGATCGTTTTACTCATAAGATATAGTTACCTGATTCTGGGTCCATTGCGATCTCATGCAACTTTTGCAACCCCCCTTTTAAACTGCAAAGTGTAATCCTCCTTGATCTGTTCCGTTCCCAACACTTCCTCATTAATGCAAATTCTTCATCCTGGAAGCACGACTCACATGGTGGCATACCGTTATTGTATGCAACCTGCAAAATAAGCTTCTTCTTAGTAACGTGTCTAATATACAGTCCAAGTAGAATTTCTATCCATCTTAATCAATTGTAGTCCTTAGGTAGTTCAACACTTTGGCATTCAGCAGTGGTAGGGTTCCTAACAAAAGAGCACTAAACCTTTGTAAACCGTAAGCTACTGTTCCCCTTTGCTTTTGTGCTATTTCTTTAATATGATCCAAACAGATTCACTGACTGCTCTATTACTTGGAAGGTGACTTTTTCTAGCCTTAAAACAAAAATTACAGCACTTACATGTTTAGCAACATCGTTATCGCCTGGAATGTTTCTGTATGGGCGGCATCCATATGTGAAAACCTCGTACATGAGTACACCAAAGGCCCACACATCAGAGGCAGTGCTGTAGCTCTTTTTCAAAATACACTCTGGTGCTTTCGACCTTACAGATTCATCTCCATCATCATCGCATACAACTTCCAGGCAACATTCATCGGACGTACAGTAGTCGTACATTTCGTCGTTATTGCGACCTTGATAAAAAAAAATTACAAATGTCATTGCAAGTTCATGAATTTCAGGATTATTGCCCCAGTAGTAAAATGAAGCATGAATTTTGAGTGAAACTTTTGTCCACTATTTCAGGGAGTGTACTCTGGCGTCACAAAGCGCCGGACTTATCCCTCGTCAGTATAGGTTGAATTATAGTCCATCGTAGGTAACTGAATTAAAGAATCATTTTTAATCTACGTCGATAACCTTCAGGAATTCTGAGTGGAGTGGGATGGTTTCATCAAGCAAACATTTAGCCAAAAATTCAGTGGAAAACCACGTCACGCCATTAGAACATTCCTCAGCATAAAATCATGAGGAAAACTTTTAAATCTGGTTTGAACATGGTTTAAGGTCAATTTTTGGGCCTAGAGAGAATGCATTCTTTTCTGGATCACCGTGAAGTCTACTAGCTGCAGAACTATCAATTGACGGCTTACCATCCTCAGCGGTTCCTTTTTGAAGTTTTCGTAATGCATGCATGCCACTTAACTTGCATCGGTAATCATCTCCCACAAGGATGTTCTCAGCCATCAGAGCGCGATGTACCAGACCGTGATTCTCCAAAAACAGAAGAGCTTCAATTATGTTAAGGAGCATCTCAAGTAACATAGCCGTCGGTAGGAGCTCATCGTTCCGTCGTGAAGCTTGAACGAAGTGAAGTAGGTTGCCGTTTCTCTCGTATTCTGTGATGACGTGATAAGGTAGACTCTTAGTGTTACAGCCGAGCAGAATAGCAATGTTTGGGTGATTGAAGCAGCGCAGGCGACGTAGGCTGTAGGCTTCAGAGATGATCTTTTCTCTCTTTCTTGAATGGTTGGGAGAATCACTGGCCAAGATATCTTGTTTTGTGACGTAAAGAATTTTCACAATCACCTCCTTCCCTTGAAACATACCATGCTTAACAAAATACTTCTGTCCTTGGCTAATAGTTGGCTTATTGATTTCTAGTGTCTGATTTCGGTAGCGATTCCTAAGATGTTGAACGTGGAGGTCCTCAGGAAGGGGCTGTTGGAAACTTTGATTTTCAAGGAGTTGGTTGGCGAAAAGCATCTTTGTGACAGGATCAGGACTGAATAGCATTTCAGACGACACACGTTCGAGGATAACCCTGCATTCTGGTTTCTTCTGAAGCTTTTTGTCCTTTAGAAGATTTATCATACAGCCACCTGCTTCGATTCGTAATTCTTGGTAACAAAAAAAGACTGATGTCAGTATAAATTTGTTCAAAGAAAAATATGCTTAAGATGTGCTTAAATGGTGTAAATGAACGAGACTACAACAAACTTAACAGTTTTGACTGGGTGCCGGAATACCTTTCGTCATGTTGTTCATAACAATGTCTGAGAGAAGAGAGCCTACCAACAGGCAAAACCTCCAGTCGTCTCTTCCGCCTCCTTCTTGATAGGCTTCAACTATACGCCTGAAAAGAATTAAGGCTTGCCTTTCGATACACATTTCTGGGGTAGGACGTTCACTATGCACCTGAAATGATAAAGTTATAGGTCATTCGGATACGAATGGTAAACACCACAGCGTACACTATTGAGTTATGGATGCACGCGGGAGGTTACTAAGCACGAAGGAAGCATAAGAGTCGCTCGAGGCGATAGCCGAGAGCGACTCTAGCTTCTTGAGTGTTAAGCAAACCTCCCAAGTGCATCCATAACTCAAATATGGATGGAAACGGGAGAATAGCGAGATGGACAGCGAACTGATGGAAACACTGAAAGACAGAAAAATATACAGACAGACGAATGCTGCGAACTACGGTCTGATACAAGAACAAGCATGCAGCCGTGTAAAGGAACGCACACCTTTCCGTGAAGATAACACAGAACGCAGTGAAGGTCAAACCAATCTCCCGCTTTTGCTTTCTTTACAATTTTCTTGAGTTTCTCAGGAAACTCTTGCATAACATCAGATTCCTGGTCTTCTAGCAAAGAACGGCAGTTGTCGAGACAGTCGCCCAAGTTTGTCGCAGTCGCTCTACTGGACCCCCTCAACAAGTAGGAGATTGCCCCCTGGATGAACTCCATGGAGTAACGGAAATAATTCTTCTTTTTGTAGCAGATTTGAGTGCAGTATTGTTTCAGGTCTTGTTGCAGTTTTTTCAAATCTTGTTTGAAGTCAACTGTGGAGAAACTTGCCTGAATTTGGTGAATGCATATTAGGGATAGAATGCGCTTGTACACAGACAGTCTCACTTCGCGCGCAGAGTCTGCTTCTTCCTTGAATACTGCGTCTGAAGAGATGATGGAAGATCTCACAATTTTTTCCACTTTTAGCAAGCTCTCCTTGCAGCTGTCCAGGTTATCTCTAAAGAGCAGATACTGAAACTGCTGCAAAGCATGCTTTGCAACTTCACCACAGCTTTTGCAACTGCTTAGTTTGGCAAGGATCATGTACGCGTCCATTTTTTGTGAAGACGCTTTTCTCCACGATTGTTCAAGATAAGGCAGGACCTGCAGTAGTATGACCTCTTTCTTTTGTTCCTTCAGCGGTCCACCTGAACTTTCAAATTCTTTCAGAGATTTATCGACATCTTGTAGAAATGATTCTTTAGACAAAGTTTCATCTGCACAATCTAACGAAAACGAAAGTAAATGGTAAATTTGAATCCTTCCTGTTTTTTCATCATATATTGTGTGACTCACACGGCCAATAATAATCCCAAACAAAGGGTGGGATCAGCATTACCATAGTAATAGGCTTCACTCTAAAAAAAATATAGAAAGCAGGGAAAGGAAGTAAAAAGGAAAAATTGAGGTGATTTGGTTTAAACGATTTACAACAACTCGACCATATTTTCTCACTTGACTTTAGGCTCTTACCAAGGCTCATTTAAAATTTTACCTTGCTGTCTATCGATGAATTTAGTTGGCTTCGGCGTCCACTTTGAGCCGAACCGCTGCTGATAATATTCTTCTGTGACGTTGGGAAGGCAATAACTGCCTGGGTTCCTTTCAGACGCGGAAGATCTTCTTCCTGGTCTGGCCCCTTCGTATGTGTACGTATCCTGATATACTTGCTCCTCTCGCCCAACGTTAATGTTTCTTGCACCTCCATGGCTAACATTCGCGTCATTTGGATGAACACGGATATCCTCTATATGGAAATGTTCAAATGAGAAAAATCTGAATTCAAGTTTTACAAGTCTAGGGTTTGGTAAAGGATGAAACCTATAGCCAAAGTGGTTACTTTTCTCGTTTAATTACGATTCCTAGTATTTAAATTTGCCTGAGGATCTTAATATCCGTCTTTTCAACTAAAAATATCCACATTGGGCATTTTAGTAGCAAGTAAGAATCTCTGCTTTCGACTTCAACTTCAACTGCTATTTCAGAGTAATATCCGTGGTTAATTGTATATAGTCTTCAGTGCTAATGAAGGAAGGTTTTTAAAATGATATAGATAGTTGTTAAGAGGTTATTGTCGTGTCCTGAGATTATTTTGAACCTGGAAGAATTGTTGAAAATTTATTAATAATAATTTTTAACAAATAAACCTCTGGATGATTTATAGTTGTAGTGTGACCACTTAATTAACATAATGGGTAATAAGCACCATACCTAATAATCACAAGCAATTCATATTCATAATACATAAAGCCACCTATATTTTGTTGGTGCGAAAATAAAGGGCAAGCATTCATCCGAAAGCTGTACTTTATGACTTCTTTCATGTCCCTTTTTATCATGCTGCGCGTTTATCAGTCTTGAAAGCAGAATAGGTAAGGCTAAGTTAAACACATTGGAAGAGCTTCTTACTTCTATCAGCAAGTTGATAATGGAACAGTCGCATGCACAATTATGTAAATACCTCTTGATGGAACTGTCTGAAAATTATTAACTTGAGCGCCTGGTCCTACAGCTGTGGCACCGCTCCCTGATATTTTCGTGATGTAGTTAACATAAACAGTCGGTGCAGCCGAAGTCTGCTTGAATACTTAAAATAAATAATAGAGAGTGCGAGTTAAACTTTTCATTGGGAATATCTCACGCTTCTTTCATTGCACAAATGTTGCAAACATTACTATTGGAGAATATCTCATTTTGACTGCATTGATGTCACTACACGATGTTCTTTCCTGTTGATCCATTAATTTCAAAGACAGGGGTTTCAGTACGAATCGACCCGCGGTTTGAGCACGAACCGACTCAAGCTTGAGTACGAGTCGATTGAACAACTGGGTGCGAAACGTCTCGATAATTTTTAGCTTTCATGTAAATTCCTTTACTGCACCCCTTCGTTGAGCAGAAGGTAAATAAAACATACGGTTAAGTCCCCGAGAGCTTCAGAAGCGTCAGTGTCAGGGTTGACTTAATTTTTCTAAACAATCTATTAATACTAATTCAAGTAAGACTACTGATTTTAATGTCAAGGTTAGAGAGGAAGTCCTATAATGGGGGACTTTTCCCTTGATCCGGGCGGGATGTGATGGAATGTTATCGAGTTTCTCTTTCTCTTTGGTGTCGGAAGTGCTGACTGTCACAAACCAAACTGCAAGCACTGCTATAATTATTTGATAACGCAAATTAAGAAGTAGCAATTTTGGCCATTGTAACTGCCGTTAAAATTCCTAGAAGGAAAATTTGAAGAAATCTTTTCTTATCTTCAAATCTTTTCTTCTTTTAAAGTCTTGCTTAAAAGGTTTTAGAGCTATGCGTAACAAACTTGTTGAGATTATATTCAATGATGCGCGAAATAAGCGATAAAGCCAAATAAACATGAGATACAAGGCATGAGTTATCGCTAGTTTCTAGATCAATTAATATAGTTTCTAAAGATGATCGATTTTACTTTATTGTTAACCATGAATTACTGTCGGGAGAATTTGGAAATTGTGAATCTTTCAAACTGCTAACTACATTTATTATGATACAGTTAACACTCGAGCTTGTGAGTGCAGAAACTAATAGCTCAATCCAAGGGGAAGTGAGATTTTTAGAGCACAATATCACGTTTGAGATTGTTCGCTTAAACAAGACTCTTAAAATCCAAATAAACGCTTAAAACTTCGTATTTGGGTCCGCTTGAATAAGAATGACTGAGAAAAGACATCGAGGATTCGGTTTTATAATGAGAACTTACCGCCATGTCCTTCCATTATTGATGAAGCCTTGCGTATTGTGCTAGTGCAAGAAATTGCAGTGGACACTGAACAACTGTTTAAATAATTTACAAATCTCAACACGGGGTTTTCCCGTGAAGGGTCCTTGATTTAAAGCGAAGGGATTTTTCCCTTAAATGATTAGCGGAAATAGGCAAGAGCTGTCAAAGAAGCGTGACAGACGGGAAATAATCTAATTTCTCCTTACAATAACGATGACAAGTCACGTGGATAGGAAAGGAGAATTCAAGTCTAAAACAACTTCATTATGAGTTGACATGCGCACATTGAGACTGAAAATGCTTCATTTTCCTGTCTTTATGCCAGGGACTGTCCCAGATGAAAGCTGACGGAGCATCAGTGCATTTTGCGTTACGTAAATGAAGGAACGGATGTAAATGTGGTTTGACGATAAGCTTTGAATGATGCAATAGTTCACTGAAGAGGTTTGGAATGTCGCATCGATTACTTTGTCTTAAGGGGTTATTTCTGGATTTCAAACCTTACTTTACTTAGCTTGCACACCACTGTACTTAAGGGAAACACCTACTGGGAAAAACCCGTTTTGTTGAGGTGATGATCAGCCAGTGGGAGAGATTTCAAGTAACCGTAGGGTTAAAGTTAATAAAGGGATCACAGGGTCCGTCATAGGAAAAACAATAAACTGTCATTTTAATACTCGAGGGGTTTTTGTGGTATTCATTCAACACAATGTCATTTGCATGAGCAGTAATTTTAGAACTGCACCGGTTGCAGTATTTCCTGACTGTAGTTGCTTTTCTTTGTAATCCTATTAGACGTAATCTTTTAATTGATTTCGACTTGGCAAAAATTTATATTTTAAGCCCGAGTTAACATTTTATATGGTACTCAGATGTCTCAGTCATTCAGACAGTGATATAAAACCGCAGTGTGGATTAGACCTCGTGTAAATAACCGGCTCAAAAGGTTGGACCTGGCGAGGTTTACTGTGGTAGTCAATGCAAAAGCGAACTAAAACGAATGTCAGCAAACACAGATAGAGTGTTCATAGAATATTAATTTTTATAATCATAAAATCTGTCACCATCAGTTGTAATATCATTACTAGATCCAAAAATTGATGGTTCATCAAACTAGGGAGTTTCTACCTCTATCCAATGATCCGTAAATGATGGTAACCTTGTGGATTACGTGTAATTATGCATTGTTCAGGCTGAAAAATAATTCCAGCAGTCCTAGGTTGCAAATCTACATAAAGTGCTCCATTATGCAATGGTCCTCTAAATTAGTGTGGTTTGTTTAAATATGGTCATTAAGTCATAGACTCGCGAGATAACTAAGCAAGAATTGATCGATCTCATCACTTGACGGAGACTAGCAGTGCGCAGTCGAAACGTCGCGATCCGCATCCGAAGTGACCACATCGTGAGACAAACGACTATACTTCTCTTTTAAAAGAACTGACTAGGATTAGTTTTATTAAATTAGAAATCGTCATGATTTTTCAATTGTGTATATAGCTGCAGCTTTAAGGAAGATTTGAGAACTGGGTTGTCTTTCTCTGCTACTCTTGTTTCCTTAAAAAGGGATGTGACACAGACAGTGTAAGGTTGGGGAAACGTTCGACTGGACTCCGCATATTTGGATTTTTCAAATAATATATAAGAGAATATTAAAATAGGTGTTAAGTTGTTGCTACATCTGTCCTCAAAAAACAAAAAAGTTCAGTCTTTGTATACTGTTTTGGAATGCATTGTTACTTTCCTCCACGTTTTCAGCGTCGCTGGATATATTTGATTATACACCTTGTAGGTATGCAAGGATTTCAGGCATTTATCTATTTACCTGTTTAGTCATAGATCAAGTATGGTCTCACTGAGACTAATCATATAGTTTACCATCGAAAAATGATGCCTTCTTCTAAACGTTTAAGTTTAAATCTATGAACACTTAGTTTCCTTATGAAAGCGTCCAAACCTCTCTAAACCGGAAATACGACACAGTCGTGATTGACAAAGCTGATTTCCATTTCAGTTATATTGAAATGAATTTGACTAGTATTTTCATGTTATCTACACAAAGTCATGAATGCTTTGNGTGGGTCGGTAGATTGTCGGATTGCAGTCTCAGTACATTGTAATGCCAACTGAAGTGGAATACTTGTGAACAGTGATTTCACATCAAATGATACTAGTTTGTAGTCGTAGAGGGCAAAATTACTGAATGCTGAATGGTCAACGTAGAGGGTATTTTTTCTTAATTTTGATTGTAAAGAGGGAAAAATTACTTGCTCACTATTGGCTCTCAGGTTGTTTGAAAAAGCACTAACGTTGTATTTTCAAACTTGAAAGTTTGTTAGCAGGCCTGGTTTTCAATGTCCTGGTATGTTTGTGCAAGAATTAAATTTCATTCAGCTCAATCGCGCGGTTGTGTTGATTGATTCTTTGTCAACATTAAATGGCTTCCTGTGACTTCAGAAATTCAGTATTTTTACCCTCTAGTCATTAATAAGTAATCGCAATGGATCCTCGTAAAATTAATTATTAATATCACTTGTATTTTCACAAGTTGCTAAAATTGCCAGAGTCGAGCAACTCCTGAAAACATGCATGACATTAATCCTTAATTTTACCCAGCCCCATGCGATTACCTATACTAATGAAGACACGATTTTTTCCCCCATCATGTTGAAATCGAAATTTCAAAGTATGTCATCGCTTAAGTATTGCTTTTCCACTCAAGGGTTAAAGCCATTAAACATAAAACACGACCTCTAATTCGGGATCCTTTAACCAAACTGGAAGGGAAGAGTTACTTCCATTTTTCTCGGCACCATACTTTTCGCGAACTGTATTCCACGAATGTTCGTCTGTCTGACGGAAATTTTGCTCCGCTTCCATTTCTTTATGTATAGTTTCCATGTCAGACTGTTCACCTTCCATGTCTGCGAGTGGCAAGGTATGCGTCGTAACACTGCTAGCGTCCACGTTTGCATACAACTGATGATTCAGGGGAACCAGCTGGTCCTTTAATTCGTGCGGATTTTTCGTCTTCTTGACTTTGCAATAAACTGCTCCATTCATTTCTTCAGTTGGTTTCTCACAAGCCGCCGCGGCCTTCTTCGCATCTTCTTCGAGTTCACAGCTCCCTTCTTTGGGAACTAATTCAATCTTTTGATAAAAGGCAGCGTGATGTTGATCTGGCTGTGGCCCCAGATTGACGTAATTCAAATGAGGTTTGTCATCCATCAGTGGTACCTTGTCTTCATTCGCCTCGATTGCACTGACGTCATGTGTTTCAACTCTTTTCTTTACCTTTTTAACTTGAAGATAAAAAGTTCCTGTACTGGAGACTACGTTTTTTTGTTCATGGCTTCTTGGGAAATCTGCTACGCCGCTAACATTTCCCTGGTTGCTCTCAATAGAGCTCAGATCTTCAATTTTAATTGAAACAGGACATAAGTAACCAGATTCATCGTTGTTGGGTGTCTTTTGTGGCTCGGGGACTGGCACAAGCTCTGGGGTTCCTTCTTCCGTTGTATATTCACCACAAGCTGTTTGGTACTCTAAATCATTCCTCATCTCTTGCATGTCTGATGTTCCGTATGCTTTTGAGTAGTCATCGTCGCTGCTTGTCGTAAAAAAAGTGCGGCTGACGTATTTGTATTCGTGCTTGGAGAAGAAGTCAGGCGAGCACATCTTCTCTATGACATCGCTAGAGGGGTGTTGGTCTGAATTTGTTACATGGCAAGCATCTTGTGGTTGACGGATGGACAAATCTGGCCATTTACTTTTGTCATGATTTTGCAGCCATAACTTCATAATCCAGGACTTCATTGGCTCTCTGAAAAAAAGTAAATAGTTGAATTGATCATGACTATGTNCTGCTCTCTCTTCATCTGACACCAAGTTGTGTACATAGTAAAGACCTGAGGGGAAAAAAATTGAAAGAGAAGTAACAGTTGTAAGCTCACTTTGATAACTAATGATAATCAGACAGTTAGTTCGTCTATCAGTCAGTAGGTCGGACTGTCAATTTTATTGTCGGAAACTAAAATCACACTTTACCATTTGACGCAGGTTGGTCATGCTCGGTAGACAGGAAATTACAGTCTTCGTAAACAGGATCTAAGGAATGAAACTTGTTACTCAATTATAAAATGCAGAAATCCAATTTTTTTTTTATAGTTGCGATAAAAGGCTTTATCACAAAAAACTCGTTGCTACCCGATTTATTCTACTCAAGATAACATGAACTTTCAATCACTTTCTCTTTCACAGTGAAATAATTAAACTGAAACACCTCAAAAACAAAAGAAAATCAGTAAAATGAAAAAAAAAAAAAAMAAAAAACAAAAGACCAAAACAAAAAAACAAAGAAACAAAGCAGAACAAAACAACCACAACAACAAACACGACCCAACACATTTTTTTCAGTCCAATAAACTGAAAGGGGACTCTTCTCTCTGGCTCGCCTTTGAGGCCGATTAATAAAGAATGACATAGCTGTTTCGTTGACAACAATAAACGTGTACCTGAATAAAAGCTTTTTATATCTTCAGCATTTCGTGCAGGCTAGAAAACAAAAATGACTAATTAATCCATAGCAAATGTAGTCATTAATAATTCCTCTTGAAACTCGAGGAAACTCGAGGGGAGTCGTTTGACTCAGTTTACTTCAAGTTTTTATTGGGATAAGGTTTTCAATACGATATGAGAGTGTAAGTTTGTGATTGGTCAATACATTCGGTTGATATTTAACGAATTTCGCAGCGTCCACTCGATATTAAATTGAATAAAGTAACCAAACTTACAAATTCATATGTGACTTGTAAGTCAAGGGGAGGTGGGTCAAGCCGTGCTTGTTCCTCGTCTGAAAAAGAAAAAACTTCGATTTTAACTTTCACGTCTATGTTGTAGCACAATTTTTCATCGTTTAGAGTTCGTTTGTAATTTCACAGTTATGTATTATAGTTTTTATGTCAAGCTGGGCATTCTTTTTACAAGCAACTATTGATGTCTAGAATTATTCATGATATAATTGCTGAGTGTTGGTGAAGCGTCTACGTGCCAGTAAGGTCAACACGTGTAATCACCTGCATTTTCATTCATCTCGCAAAGGCTTTTTTGGACGTCAAGTAATTTGGGTCTCTTTTTTGGATGGAACTGAAAGCACTGCTGCATCAGTTGGTATTCCTTTTCTTCAAAACACCGCTCAGAAGGCAGGATCTCCCAACCATTTTTCACCTTAAAAACGTAGAGCTAGTATTAAAGTCTTCGTAATCGTAAATTTTGAAACCATGCCGACCTCTATATATATATATAGAGGTCGGCATGGTT